TTCAACTGAGTTATATTGGCTTTTGCTCCAGGAACTTGATTTTTCGTGCTCACTTGGGAACATCTACCAGTGTGACTAAATAAGGGTGTAGTAAAAACCCATAAACAGTCGGATATTAGACCACCTGGTCCAATCCTGCCACAAAGCCAGCCAGCATTGAAGAATCCTTCTTTATCATCTATCGGGTACCAAATGAATTGCCAAAAACATCCAAGTACCACACACTCCAAGCAGTAGAGGTTATCGCGATTCGCATGAAACAACCAGTGGTTTGTGTCAGGAGAAGTAGGTCCAGCCACTACTACTGCCCTGGCCAGTCTTCTGTGGAGACTATAAATTCATGAATTTGTATTATTATCTTTCCTAATTTTCCTGATATTCAGTGTATTGTTATGTTGATGCTATCGAACTGTAATCCATTGATATTATTATTATTATTGATTCGATGTTATTTAAACAACATTAATGTTGTTAATAACACTAATTCATTCATTCACTATTATGTATATATAACTGTAGAACCTGATGAAGAAGGCGTTATCGAAAAGAATATTCTTTGTTCAAATAACCATTCTTTGGAAAATTTTAATGAGCATTTTCAATCAAGGGAAATAGAATTATTATAAATTTAGTGAATACTAAAACCCAGAAACTAAAGTGATATTAAACTAATATTTACGACATATTTTTTATTACGTAAAATAGAAGAACATGGCGTCTAGCGAATACTGATAATACGTGTGACAGATGGAAACAGAAAGGGAGAGAGAGAGAAGTGGGGAAAGTAAGAGGTAGAGTGGGAGAGTAGGAGAGATGGAGATAGAATGCCAGAAAAGAATAAAAAAGGGGAGAAATATAGCCAGATTTTATGCCAAGACTGTATTCGTCTGCTTTTTCTGTCTTTAAATTACCACGATTATTATTACTAAACGCATAAATCAGAGATGAAAATGTAAGATTATTTAATTAAGCATCCTGTTAAAGAAATCTGATTTTCAATAACATCAGAAGAAAAAACAAAATTAGTGGTATAAAGTAACAGTTTCACGGTCCATATGTTCAAATTCAGACTGTAAATCATTAAAGTTGAGTCTGAGAGGGATAAATACTAGATTATAACTTAGACAAGCTGGCCTGTATATGTAAGACAATTCACACTGGTAGATAAAGTGGTTAAAAGGTTCAGAGACGATAGTGCGCAGTAAACATTGCCAGATTGATGAACTGATTAGACTGAGTCTATCATTTTAGGCATAAACGAGATCTACAAACACTAGTAAGTACTCATGAAGCCTGTAGCATTGAGGGGACTAAAACTGAAACTAAGTCTAATGCAAAATACCTCGGTCTAGTTCTATCTTCCAACCTTACTTGGATATCTCATATCCTAACGATTTCTAAGAAAGTGTTCTGTCTAATCTACTACATTAAGAAACTTAGAGAGTCTGGAATCACCCAAACTCTACTTTCACAATTTGTCAACTCTTGTATCTTACCTATTCTACTTTACTGCTCCCCGTTAGTCTTTCCTGGGCTACTGAAAAAGGACTATACCATCCTGAGAAGGATGTTGAAGGTAGTTAGTAGGACTAGTGGTGTAAAACTCAGCCAGCTCGTCACTACATTAGTTGATAGGCATATTATTTCAGTTGGAACCCAAGGGAACAATAATAATATATTATATATTAGTGGGGGGAGGGGTTCTCGTTCATCTCCACAGGCTGTGGCCTATTAGGTATTTCAAATAAAAGACGTTCAGCGAAGAGTTACTCTTTTCAGTTATATCAATACAAATAAAAAAGACAAAAGGAACAAAAATTGCGTATCCACTGTTAAGATAGATCAGATCCACTGTACATTCAATGACTGGACAAACTTCTTTTATAAGCGGAGTTCAGGATTTCACATGTGAATTACCATTTCTTCCGTGGTTTGAAGAAGTTCGATTCACACTCTTTTAGCAAGATTTCCATGTATTCTGTAAATGATTTTGAAGTTGATTTGTGGGTTAGCTTGATGTCCAGATTCAACCAAGTGTTCCAGGATAGAGCTGTGGTGGGGTGCGAGGATATTTATTAAACCATGAGGGTAAATGTTCGATAATACGTTTGGATACCAAACGCTAGGTACAGCCGACATACCTAGTTCCACACGAGCAGGTGAGGCGACAGATACACATTGATGAGGTCAGCAGTAATAGCTTTCATACGAATCATTGGCTTAGTAGAGAAATTTAGTCGAACTTCAGCCGTGAAGAATGTTTTCTCTAACAAGCGAGACAGGCGGTTTCCCAGTATTTCTACGGATGAGTTTCAACAGAATTGTAGATTCAATGTTCGGTTTCAGTGTTATAGGCTTCATGTGGATTTTGTGATAAAATGTTCAAGCAAACTTATTTCCAGAGAATTCAGTTTCTCTTCCATAGAGTCAGGGCTGCAACTACTGTGGATTCTGTGGCTCAGTGAACCGATCAGCTTTCGTTTTGTATATGAAGGCACCCAAATATGAAAGTTAGTGAACAATAGGTATTTCACAAAGTTGTAAACTAATTTTTTCATTTCTTCTCCAGTGGTTTTACCAATGAAAAATCGATTATCATTGGTTTTGAAAAGATATCAGTCTACTAGCACACATCATAGATGGTAGAATCTGGTGTCCATAGCAGTATGTCTTGGAAGTCATACATTCTCTTTGCTTTATTCAACAGTTCATCTAGAAGTATTCTGTACCACTCAGTATAAGTTAACGCTGAATAGACTAGACGTATTTACATAAAGAAACTCTGGTGTTAAAGTAAGGCTGTATGCTGCTTTCACTATCACAGACAGTATTATTTGTGTGAAATAGCAGAAAATATGTGACGACGTGTATTAATATTATTTATTATTGTTCCCTTGGGTTCCTAGTGGAACATAGGGCTTCAACCGCACGCCTCCACTTGCTTCTGTCTTCTGCTGTACTTTTCACCTGCGTCCATGTTAATCCATACTGTTTCAACTCCTCTTCACACGATCTCTTCCATGTCACCCTTGGACGTCCCACTCGCCGCTTCCCTTTCGGGTTCCACTCGAGGGCCTGACGCGCGATGTCACCCAGCGGCCTCCTCAGCGAGTGTCCAATCCATCTCCACTTTCTCCTGCATATTTGTTGAGTGATTGGTTCTTGTTTTGTTTGTTCCCATAGTTTCTTGTTGGTGATTCTTTCCGGCCATCTGATCTTGAGTACAGAACGAAGACAGTTAGTTGTTGATAAAGGTCTGCAACAGGCTGTTGGAAATATTCTTGGTGACCCGCCAAGATCCTGATCCGCATAGAAGAAGTGACTTGACGTTTGTATTGAAAATCCGAATTTTGTTGTTGAGTGTGGCTGAGTGACGAAGATTTCCAGATTGGTTTCAGGTTGATGAATGTGTTTCTCGCCTTCCCGATTCTCGATTTGACATCCTCGTTCGTTTCTCCTGTAGTTGAGACAATGCTCTCTAGATAAGTGAATGAAGTAACCTCTTTCAAATCCCTCTCATTGATGGTGATTGGCACTGGATGTTGTTGCTGCTGTTGTTGTTGTTGGTTGGTTGGTTATTTTCATAACCTCCGTCTTGTCTATGTTCACCTGGAGTCCTGTCTTTGCTGCCAGCCTCTTCGACCAGTTTGTCGGTTTTCGCTTGTAAGTCTTCGATTTTGTGTGACATCAAAGATAAATCATCCACGCGCGAAATCCAGGTCTTCTAGATTCTTCACGTTTGTTCAAGATATCTCTGTCTTCTCGTTTCCCACTGAATGACGTGTGATCTTGAAGTTTTTATTTCTCATTTGATTGAAGATGCCCATTAAAAATTTAAAAGACTGATTATATTACTATTCCATTGGGTTCCGAGGGGAACACAGAGCTTTAACAACACATCTCCACTTTCTTCTATGTTCTGCTGTCCTCTTCAGCTAAGCCCACGACTGCCCATAGTCTTTCATCTCCTTACACGATCTCCTCCATGTCACTCTCGTACCGACGACCCACTCTTGGCTTCCCGTTCAGGTTCCACTCGAGCAGTGACCTGCAATGCGCGCGATGTCATTCGACATATTGAAATCTGGCCACTCTGTTCAGTCTAGATATATAAACTGAAAACACATGAATGAAAAGTAATTTCAAATCATGTTCATTGCACAAGAGTCACCTTTCCTTACTCAGCGGCGTCTAGTGGACAGTGCTCTTGGGTTTGAGGTGAATGATACCGAGTTTGTCTCCGAATAGGAATACCATTATCTGGTATTTTCAGCTGATGAGTCCAAAATGAGAAGTGGCATGTGCTTTGGATTCCACTGCTATTTTATTCCTTTCCATTCTGAGGGGGACATAGGACTTCAAACTTGAGTTTTTGAATTTCTATCGTTTTAACGGAATACGTCCAACGTCTCCTCTTTACCGTCCTTACTAACGGTTAAGTGAAGTTTAAAAGTAGGTAGGCCGAGAGTCAAACCAGGGGGACCATGTTTGTGACTGACGAGCATTCTTTCTCCTAAAAGATTTTCACTTGCCATTGTCTCTTTGAATCTGTTTTCCCTCTTTCCCTATCTTTATGTATCCTTCCATGATCTGTGGTAACACAGACTGCCTCATCTTTGTGTATATTTCTATAATGAAAATTCACTTCAGATATAAGATAGTTTTGGCGGTGATTACATTTCATGAACATCTTGGTTACGTGATAGTTCAAATTAGCTTAGTGTTGCATCTCCTGGATTATTTACAAGACTGCCAACTGCTTAATAAACACACTGAAGTAACTGAGATATGGTTAGCAATTAGGTGTCGTAACTGTTTCAGTCCCTATTTCTGTGCAATAGTGAATGGGTGAGTTCGATTTCCCCATCTTTTGTGACTAGTAGAAACATTAAGTTTGGTTCAACGTTTCAATTAATTATCCTAGTAATATCAAATTTAAAACAAAGTCATTGAAAATTGAATAGATAAAAAGAAAATATCACATTTTCATCATTACTTACTTTTACAGCTTCATCATAACCTTGACGAAGATATCGACCAATACGTGTGAAAGGTGATAACTGGGTCCAGCAAGTTCGTAGACTGCATGAACCAGAAACACCATGACATTTACACGCTACTGAAGCAAGTTTATAGACAGCCTGAAAATGTAAAATTAAGATAGTTATAGACCTTTTTATAATGAAAAAGGGTTGAAGCTGTAAATACCCAGTAGACTGATACACATTAAAATGTCTTACAATTTTCAATAGTTGGTTTGTAAGGATTAGATTTGTTTTGACGAGTTGATCAGCGATTGATTTCGGTTAGCGAACCATTGAAAACCAGCACTGAAGTACTGGATATTCTAGTTTGGGAATCATCGGCAGTACGCACCCACAACGCAGGGTTCGAACCCAGGACCTTCCAGTTACAATTATTAAAGACCAGTGTGTATATTTATCCACTGATATTATTGAACAGTTTATTCGGAGGAAACATACTTCAGAGCAACAGAAAATGCAATTATCAAGGGAGAATTCACCAGTAACTGATACTTGTTTCAGAACTTTAGAAAATAAAGCAGGAATGAATAACTATTCCTACTTTGGGTCTCTTCAGTAGTACGCATTCATGTTTTCGTCATGAATCGAGCCCAAGACCGTAAGGTTACGGGCCAAGGGAGCCAAGGAATTTTGACTTATGTCACTTTGCGATATGGCGTCATTGCCATCTGGTGTCTTCAGCGAGTACTAATTGTCCCATTCCATTACAACTTCTCACTGGACCTTCAGGAAGTTCATTCTATAATAAACTACCAGTCAGCAATGGATTAGCTTTCAAGTGTTAATGTGTAAGAAGTTGATTTATTTCAGGGTGAACCAAATCAATAACCGACATCACTTGGACGACCACTGAATGACGATGTAGTTCCCTCATGGATACTGCTAAAGAGTCCCAGACCAACTGTTCAGTGCTCTATGATTTCTAGTGGTGCTGTTGCTGAAATCTACCCTGGAATCAATAAAATTCCTGCAGAGAAACACTTAAAAAGAACTCATTATATCACTACGTATATTTTACATTTTAAACGTCTTCCTGATTCGTGTTCACTAATTCCACTATAAATAAACGGTTTTCTTATGAATACACATATTTATAAAAATTTGTTTTAGAGACTTGACGCGTCACGAAAAGCATTTCCGGGAGGCTACTGCAGACCTTCATCAACACCAGACTTTGCTGCCTTGATATTTCAAATTGGATGGCCAGCCAGAAAAGATAAATAACACCAAACTTTGTCAGTGTACTAGCCAACACACCTATTGCTCAAAAACTATGTAGAAGGGAGTAGAGGAGATGAACTGGACATACACGGAGAAGACTGTTGAGTCACACTGTACGTCAAAATCTCTAGTGGGACTCGAATGCAAGCGACAAGTGGGGCGGAGGAGGGAAATATGTCGCCGGTGCCCTATGTTCCGCTAAGAATGCAAGGGATTAATAATACTAGTAATAATAAAGGTGGGAACAAGGATAAAAACGTAAATTAAAGGTGACACTCAAAGTGTGTCATTAAACAAACTGAATAACAACTAAGATCACATCATTCAAATCAATAATGATCTACTTTTCTGATCATGGTTTTACTACTTTAATCTAAATGCACTCGGTTAGACTTGACTACTGAATAAACTAGGAAAATCATTGTACTCATTATGAAATTACTTTTGATTTGTCTGATTATCAGTTTTTGAATTGCTCACTAATTTAAGTAGCATATTTCTTGTATTACTATTATTATCCTCCCCTTGTGAGTGGATATTTGGCGCCCTGCTTGAATCTCTGGTCTACCTGAATTTCCATCCCAAATAATTCATCTTATTTTCTTTAATTCTTGTTGTTATAATTATTCAGTTATATCTGTAAGTCTCCAAATGTACTCGTACACATTTTAACTGGTTTGCAGCCTATAGTTGAGCATTTCTGTGAGACCAAACAAAAATACCTTAGTAGATTCTATTATTCTTCAAATCTAACATTACTGTGTTACATTATGTATTGGAGACGGCTGTTTTACCTGAAACTCCTGGACGAAGAGTAAATATTATGCAATAAACTACGCTGAAAATTGAGCACATTGTGTAAACTTATTGTGCATAATAAAGTTATTTGTTGTTAATAATTTTATTAAAGGAATGATGGAGACGGTTTATAGCTCAGATGGATAATATTGCCGTAGTTGTGTTCATTGAGTCGAATGGTTTAATTGTGAATTGTTCCCTGTCTTTGTGGACAGTGATATCTTCAACTTTGGCTTCAATATGAAGGGTGAGACACGGGACAATTAATCATATGCGAGTCACTGTCCTTTATTGCTCCCCACCAAACTTTAGTCTTTCCTAGGCTACTCAAAAAGGACCATCTCATACTGCAAAGGGCATTAAAGGTTGTCGGTAGAGCATTAGGTGTGCCACTAAGTCAGCTTGTTACTATTATAGTCAACAGACACCCGAACTCATGTGAAAAATGGGCTAAATCAATAATGTCTGACTCTCTCTCTCTCAACAGCCTCTCTATTCACAACCCTCCTCGACTTGGATAGGACTAGAATTCATTGTAAAAGATTATATGACTACTTGCACAACTAATCATAAAAACTCAACAATACCTCATTTGGACCACCTGCGTTCTACGTGATAGGGAAGATAGTGTTAAGGGTGAAACTTATAACTTACTTTGTAATTAGCAAAATAGATGGCTCTTTTATCTTCTCCTATTTGTAATTTACGGTGACTCTGTCTCCATTATCTTATAACTTAAGTTATTATTATTTTTGACTGGACACTAGTTAGTAACTAGTGTAATGTGTCCAGTCCTTTGTTTGCTGCAGACTGAATTCGATCAATAAGGCCAATATTCTAGTTGTCTCACCATCGTGGTGCACTGTGAATTGTTGTTATTAGATTGTTGTAGGCAATCGGCAGAAAGCCCAGCTGGAACTAGGTTTCGAGCTCGGTGGCATTCACTAGACAGAAAGGCGTGTCTGTAACCTTGAAGGAACTCCTATCCTTACTGAGATTCCAACTCGCGCCACCCAATTCTGTAGTCTAAGATGTTACCACTGAGCTATTCGGGCTCGCGACTGACCTCCTGTAGGGTAGTACTGGGACCACACTGCAAAGTTAACTGATCGACTAGACACATTACACTAGTTACTACTAGTGTCCAATCAAAAGTATCCAATACAGTCCTACAGGAGGTCAATCGCTAGCCCGAATATCTCAGTGGTAGCGTCTCTGACTGCAGGTAGCACTGGGTGACGCGAGTTCGAATCTCAGGAGGTATTTGAGTTCCTTCAAGGTTATAGATACGCCTTGCTGACTGGTGAGTGCCAAATAGCACGAAACCTAGTTCCAGCTGGGCTTCCTTCCGATTGCCTCCAACCATCTAATATCAGTTATTAATATTACCATTTTATACTTTTAGTGCATTTTTGAATCTATTGTTAATGCTAACGCCGAAAAAGCTGCTACTGTCAATTCTGGTTACCTATACCCTGTGATGTTATTTGTTGTTACTGTTTATTGTTGAGTAAATTAGGTCCAAAACTGTACCGAATACTAAGAATTCCATGCTGTATCATGTATAATGGATCACGCCAAGGGTCAGAAACTTGGCGTGTCACGAAAATGATTTCCAACAGGTTGCAGACTTTCATCAACAGCTGCCACCTTCGCTGGCTCAATACTGAAGATCAAATGGCCAGAAAGAATAAGCAACAAGAAACTCTGGCTGGTAACAAAGCAACCAAGAGCCGATCGCTCAACAAATATGTAGGAGAAAGTGGAGATGGATCGGGCATACACTGAGTAGGCCGCCGAATGACATCGCGCGCCAGGCCATCACTCAAGTGGAATCCAAATGGGAAGCGACGAGTGGATCGTCCTAAGGTGACATGGAGGAGATTGTGTGAGGAAGAGATGAGAGAGTTCGGTCAATCGTGGACCTGGCTGAAGAAGACGGCAGAAAACAGAACAAAGTGGAGACGTGTTGTTGAAGCCCTAGGTTCTACTCGGAACTCAAAGGAACAATAATAACAAATCAGCAGTGCTATTTTTGGAATAAAGCAAATTATTTGGTTACAGGATTTCATCATGAGCTGACATTAGTTAGAAAACCATTGGAAAACCTGGGAGTACTGGACAGCTGTTTCGTCCTAGTTTGGGACTCTTCAATGGGAAGTCGTGACCAGTAGGGTGCAGCAGGTCGGGTGTGAGGACAAATACTCGCCGAAGACATTGGCTAGGGGTCGCGCTATATCGTGAATTGGCAGAAGTTAGAATTCATGGGCCATTGGATCGGGTCCCAGTAGCTTAATGGTATACGAGCTCACCTTGTAACCAGAAGGTCCTGGGTTCGAACCCCGGTGAGTGAGTACTGCTGAAGAGTCCCAAACTAGGATGAAACAGCTGTCCAGTACTCCCAGGTTTTCCAATGGTTCTCTAACTAATGTCAGCTCATGATGAAATCCTGTAACCAAACAACCAAATCCCTACAAACCAATACTTGAAAAGCAAATTATTATTAGTATTATCATTGAATAGTGTTAAGGAAAACAAAAACTTACCAAACGACCTGCTCTATTATTATGCAAATTCATTAACATACGTGCCAATTCATTTGAATGTCTTGGATAACTTTTCTCCTTCTCCCTAATATCAATAAATGCTTTAGCAAATCGATATGCATAGGCTATATTATCACCACAACCACCCCATATCCAATCACGATGTAGTTGATCAGGTCGATCAGCTTTTGAACAACCACAAGAGTATAGACGAGCTTCTTTACAACTTCTAGCTAAAGCATGTACAACACCGGCAGCAGATATTGCATGTGCAAAACCAGCCTCACGACTACCTGTATTTTTCAGGAGGATGAGAAAAAACAAATAAGGAAAAAAATAATGAATAAATATCAAAAATCAAAGATCTATGTATTCATATATATATACTGTGTTTCAAAAACTTAGGCATTTCTAACAGTCTGCTGAAGACTTTCATTAACACCTGCCCACTTATCTGGCTCCAATGAAAGCCAGATGACCAGCAAGAAAGAATTAGCAACACAAGAAACTCTAAGGATGAATCAACCAAGAAACTATTGCTCAACAAATGTTCCAGAGAACATGGAGATGGTTCGGACAGACATGGATGCATCGCGCATCAAGCCATCACTCGAGTGGAAGATGAATGGGGACAGATCAGTTGGGCGTGGTTTTGAGGGTGACATTGAAGGAGGAGATCGTGTGAGGAGGAGATGAAAGCCTATGAACAATCGTGGAGTAAGCCAGCTGAGGAGAATTGCAGAAAACAGGCTGAAATGGAGATGTGCTGCTGAGACTTTATGTTGCACTTGGAAACGAAGGGAATAATAAAGTAAATGAGTAATAGCATACTACTTTAATGCATCTTGAGTCAGATAATTAGGATTTGAATAAAGCAGAAACAGCGATTCGAAAAGAATGAAATTTTTTCCTTCACGTTCCCCAGTGGAACATAGGGCTTCAAGCTAGTGGCTTGTAGTTTCTTTAGCAGTGTTTATTTTAACAGGATGGGGTTGCAAGTCTCACGCCCAACCTTTTCTCCTCACCAGTATTATTTCTGGCTTAGCGAGGTAAAGGAGTGCGTCGGCCGGGAATCGAACCCCGGATCATGTGCATGGTCGGCGAGCGTCCTAACCGCTATACCACCGATGCACCAAAAGAATGAAATGATGTCATCAAATTGATGACATTAAAATGACAAAAAAGAGGAAAGCCTAACCTGACAAAACCAGAGATAGAAGCCCTAAAACACCTTAAGAATAACAAGGACATAGTAATCACTAAATCAGACAAAGGAAATGTGACAGTAATATTAGACAAATCAGACTATTTGGACAAGGTGAATACTCACATACAAACAGGACCATATGAGGAAATTAATAAACCAATAGATACAGTTATGAACAAAGTTAAGAAATCCACAGCGGATCTTATACGCCGAATGAAGCCGTTTCTAGGTGAGTCTAAGTGGTTTAATTTAATGCCGAAAACTAATAACCCCAGTAGGATGTATGGTGTTGTTAAAGTTCATAAGTCAGGATACCCTATTAGACCTATAGTTGATTTTAGAAATTCACCTACTTATGAATTATCTAAATATTTAGCCATGGTATTAAATCCCCTAAAAAGCCACTCGAAATCTAGACTAACTAATTCTTATGAACTAAAACACAGATTAGATAATTTAAAATTAGATAATGAAGAAAAATGGTTAGTTTTGACATTGTCAGTTTATATACACGTGTACCAATAAATATGGTTATAGAGGCAGTCAGAAACTAACTCATTTCTGACCAGGAACTTGAACTTAGAACGAAAGTGCCACTTGAGGACATAATGCTGGGAGTGCAGCTATGCCTGACTTCTAAGGGATAATATGCAAACAAACTAAGGGAGTTGCCATGGGATCACTAATATACCCAGTTGTGGCAGATATATTCATGGATAGGTGGGAAAACTTAGCGACTGAAACGTTCAGCCCCACCCCAAAAGTATAGTGGAGGTATGTTGATGACACATTCACCGTACTTAGAACACAGGACATAAATAGGTTTTTCGAACATATCAACTAGAAGGTGGAGACGATTCGATTCACTTATGAATTGGAAAGTCAGGAAGGGGAGCTTCCAATGTTAGATTGCAACGTAAAAGGGAAAGAAGATGGGAAGTTAAACACTGATGTTTACAGGAAACCCATACATTCAAACAGATATTTGGACTTCCGATCATCCCATCCTATGTCAGTAAAAATAGGATTGGTGAAATGTTTAAATGATAGAGCACAAAAACTAAGTAGTACCAAGGAAAATCTAAGACAGGAAGTAGGGCATGTATGAGAAGCTTTAAAACTTAATAACTACCCTGATGAGTTAATCAGAAAGTATTTAGGGAAATGTAGAAATAAAATAAATAGTAATATTAGTGACAGAGGCAATAATAATATTAATGATGACGTGCATGTGAAACATGCACAGGATAATGACAACACCAACAATAGGGAATATAAATCATCACCAGTATCCCTTTACAAAGAAGGAACCTTGGAAACCTTGTGGAGAGTTTCATATCAGATTATTTTATTTTATAAATATCAAACAGCGATGCAGAATTCTTGACAATGCAGAAATAAAAGTGCCATTCAAACCCACAAACTCAATGAGAAACAAGCTTTGTCGGTTAAAGGATCCTGCCAATGCAGCCAATTAAACAAAACAATTTAGTTTATCTAACACCCTGCCTGAAATGATTGTGAGTTCAAATACATAGGTCACAGTTGTAGAACAGGGTCAGTCAGACTAGCAGAGCACAAAAACCTAACAAAATCTGGATTAGTTGACCCTAATAAGATAAGAAATCTGGAGATTAGTTCGGCTATACTACTCGCTACATGCTATTACAGACAACACTGCCATTAAATAGGATGGGATAGGATGACAGTTTTAAAATCAAATGTAACAGGGTGGAAGGAGAGACTGATGACGGAAGCTTTATTTGTCGACCTGAAGATACTGATTTTGAATCCCAGTGGATGCCTACAGTGAAGAGTCTCAGACAAGGGCGAAACAGCTGTTCAGTATTCTTCATTGATTTTCCAGTGATCTTTCAACTGATATTAGATCGTGGTCAATCCTGCAACCAATTAATAAATACTATATTTTATGTTGTCACAGCACTGTGAGTCATCGAATAAAATTAGCCCAATTAGCTAATCTCGTATTTCTTTTTAAACATAAATACAGGATGGTATATACTACTGACTGGCTGGTTGATATGAGTAGCTGGGCACCATGCACACCAGTCAGGTGAATCTTACTAGCCAAATCGAAGCTGTCTAAACGTATTACGACCGTTCCCCTCGTTTAGAGGGAGCTCATCATTGATGAATTCATTTTGACTTTACTGAGAGAACTGAATCAATTCACATCATCCTCCTTTAGTTTAATTTTACTAAATACTTTGACGATGAATTTGATTTTAACTTTGACAATATTCTGATAGGTAGTGTCACCGTGGTAAATTCAAAGAAACGCATTTCTTCCCATCCACTGATATACAAGTACATCAACCTAACAAGCTTTAAATCGGATGAAACACGTGTCCTGAAGTCCCCTACTAGCCAGCTCTTTATCAAATAACACCATAAAGTAACTATTTAAAAAGGAAGAATGAGGAGGGGAAATCAAATAGGTGACCAAGCTTCATGATTATATCAGGAAATTTAAATGAGTGATGATTACTTAATCACCTATTCATCACAACTACCATTCAACAGTAAATATTCCTCCTGTACAAGACGTATTCTCCTTGGGTGTAATTTTATTGACGGTGACTAGCAGTGGAATCTAGGATGCGCATTTAACCCTATTTGGGTTTGCGTCAACTAGATATCCCTGCATTCTTTGCCCTATACAGAGGCAGAACGCTTCGGTTCAATTGATCAACGAGAAAGTTCAAATTGCATTAAGTAATAACTGATACCCGCTGCATAAGAGGTACTCTTGTGGCCCAAGTGATGTAGTAGATAACGCCTCGGCATTTGAAATGATGGGTACTGGGTCCGAGCCCCAATGGGGACACTGAGAAATGCAGGTATATCCAGATGACGAATCCTAGATAGGACTAAATGCACATCCTAGACTACACTGCTAGTTACCATCAACCAAATGGGTTCAAACCCTGTCGGTGGGTGCGTATTGCTGAAGAGTCCCAAACCAGTGGTGAACAGCCGTCCAATACTTCCAACCAATGTCAGTTCATGATGAAATCCTGAAACCAATGAAATTCCTACAAACCAACACTTGAATATCAATCTAATGCTCACTAGTGACTGACCCTATTCAGGTAGGTACTCACCTGGGGTTCTAGTGGGAAGTCGTGACCAGTAGGGTATAGCAGGTCGTCTGTGGGGACAAATATTCGCCAGGAATCACATTCGCTAGCGGTCGAGCTATGTCATGAATTGGCAGAAGTTGGAATTCATGGACTGGTCATTGGATCGGGTCCCAGTGACTGAATGGTCGCCTTACAACTGAAAGGTAGGGGATTCGAACCCTGTGGGTGGGTGCGCATTGCTAGGAGGGAACGGCTTACTGTCCAGTACTCTCTGGTTTTCCAATGGTCCTCTAACGGTTATCAGTTCATGATGAAATCACCAAAGCCAATGAAATCCCTTCAAACCAACACTAGAATAACAAATTAATTCACTTTAATCCTAGGAAATCATCGAAGCTGATATATCAACAGACGCAGAACATTTCAGTACAATCAATCAAGGGTAAAAATGAAAATTGCATCACAAAAATAAGCAATATATAATCTCCACTTTTGATAAGCATTGTTACTTCACATTTTACAGACTTAGTCAGACGTTAACAAAGTGTTTAATTTTGGATTGTTGTTGTTTTTTCTTTCTTTTCTTTTAAACTTTGTATATGTTTGCGACAACAGTGAACTAATGCGGCTTTATTTTAGTCTACAATACACATACACTGAGTGAGAAGCGTTACTGAAATGAGACAGTTCAGTTAACACATGAATAATGGGAGCGGTTAACAGTGTTATCTCTCGCTCTCTCTCTCCGTCTATTTCTGTCTCTTGCTCTGTGTGACAAAAACAACAAAAATATCACTGGTAATCGTAATAACAAAAATAATAATAATAATAACAATAACATTTGACAAAAAGAAAAACAATGATTGATGAAGTCTTTAAATTGTTGGTTAATCACAAGCGTTTATGTAATCAAGTAGGGAAAATATTTAATATTAAATCCACGGTAGATAATTTATCAAACCAAAAAAGAGAGGCAGA